TGTCGGGATAAAATAACAAATTTAGGTGATCTGTGATATCATTAAATCAATCGAAACTCAACCTCCTTCTCACCGGCCGAGCTCAGCTGCAGTTTCTGCATCACACCACCGCATTTTCAAGGTCGCTAGTCTATTGAGGTACCTAAGGCTTCTGTTTAATTTGAAGTTTGATTTGTCTGTTGCGCTGTTTTTGAAACTAGTGGCAAAGCGCACGCACTCAGGGCTTCTCTGTCTTTCCACGAAAGGTCTCTATGGCGTGTCAGGTTGCCAGGCTTTCATTGTAACTTGAGGATTGTGGTTAGCTGTGGTTAGATTGTGGCTGCGTGGACGGGTCGTAGAAAGGCTACGTGAGGGGTCACGAAAGTATCGGCACTCGCTGGTGGCTGCTTTTGTTTGGTATGCGTCATAGGTAGGTTTTAGTGTCTTGTATCTGAAGGTTCAACAAAGGCACCGTACTTGTCTCCGGCATGGTCTAGTGGTTAGGATACCTGGCTCTCACCCAGGAGGCCCGGGTTCGATTTTAGGTGTCAGAACTATTTTTTTTTTACCCTCCAATTTTTTTTTTATATTAGTGGACGTCAACAGAGCACTTCTGTTCAATTGAGTATTTTAGCAAGTTACGGAAATATGGGATGCCAATACTACGGTACGGTATGACGGTACTGCACCACTTTTCCCGGTTGTTGACCTTTTCGCAGTTATCGCCCCCCAACACCACAAAAGCCTTTTTTCAAACATTACTGTGGGGTTGTCATGCCTCGAGGAATCTGTGATTCAGAGAATGCACACTGACCTCAGTGGGGACGCTCTGTCAGCATATGTCAGTTGAATGGTGGGACTGGGAGTGGTGTAGGGAACGCTACCCTACTGCTACTACTTTATCGTATTTCCATAACTTGCTAAAAGACTTTTGAGAAACGTTGCCTCATGTTCAAGGTCCCATTTTGTGCATGCAGCCTCGAGAAGCAAAAGCAGACAATGAGGATCGAGCTGTAGGCCGTAGTGGAATCAGTTTTCATGGCACAAAAGCAAGTACGGCTGTGGTACGACAGCCAATAGGTGGTAAGGGGGGTAGATATGTAGACTGAAATGGATATTTGTTTGCCTATGTTTTTATGAGATATTCACAAGTTATTCAAAAATTGCAGTTTCGGTGCCTGCCATGGGCAGGTTGTTTTTTCGGGGCTTCAATTTCTTCCCATATTGCATTATTACTACAAATTAGCGTGCTTCTCCCATATTTGGCTTGGCTGTCTGTTGGTTCTCATTAAGGTCATGAGATATGCATGACTGTTAATGGTTCCTGTTTTCTTTCTTTTTTTTATTAAGGTGTGTGGTCTTGCACAAAGCATGACGAGGTACACAGAAACTTCTTCGTTGTTTCTGTGTCCCTCGTCCGGTCACTTCAAGCTACGCCTCACCAGCTAAAAATGCAACTAGCACCACTTGCTTGAAAGAGGAACAATATTACTGTATTGATTTCTTCTCCAACGTGATGGCTAGAAGCCCTTTTTCGGCTTGCCAAACTGCGGTCGCTGCTGTCTCCCACTGCTCTGAACACTGAACATGTGAATTACTTGAATGTGTACGTCCAAAAAGAGGAACCATGGGGTCCTCTCCGCAAACTGAACCCCCCCTCCTTGGAAAAACTCTTTATCTGTCCATGATTTGTCTGCCACAAATCATGCTTCTCTGCATCTAACGCTCCGAGTGTGAGAGGTCCATTCTAGCATTCTTGTGTGTGCCACTTGCAGTAACCATCAGTGCATTAATGAAAAGCAGCAAATTAATACAAGTGCATCCCTTTTCCTACTCTGATGGCCATGGTAGATATGTTTAGACAACCACTATTTGCACAAGTGTCATTACACATGAAATTTCATACAAGAGTTTCCTCTGGTTCAGTAAAAACAGTAAATGCGTGTGTATTCAATAAAGCCTTTCATTTCCAGGGGCTCTACCGCCGCCGTCTTCAGTTTTGTTCCATAACTAAGCAAGGACCCCCTCCATATCTTGTCCAATTATCTTTTACTCTTTTGGCTGGAGGGGGGGAGGGGGGGCACTTTGCTTGGGATTTTACGGTCCATTTGATTTACATGCTGTAAAAAGTGATGTGTTCTTTTTTTATGATGTCAAATGGTATTGTTGCAAGTTCTTGGAAATTCTTTATTAGCATCTAGAAAGTCCTTAAAAACCCATGAGTTCTTTTTCTTTACTCTGAGTTGCTATGAACCATATGAACCGTGGGTTCTTCCCTGGTGTAGCATGGGCCCACCATAGTGGAATAGTGGTTACGGTGCTCGATGCTGATCCGAAGATCGCGGTTTCTATCCCGGCCGCTGCAGTGCGATTTCGGTAAAGGCAAAATGGTGGAGGCCTGTGTACTGTGGGTTGTTGCCTCACGTTTAGGGACATCAGATAGTCTAAAGTTCTGGAGCCCTCCATTACGGTGTGTCTTATAATCAAATCGTGCTTTTGGGATGTAAAACCCTAGATGTTATATTATTGTAGTGTAGCACGGAACACAAGAGCATTAATTTTTTCATATTTCTTGGCGTCTTTTGAAAAGTGGTGTACACCTAAAACTATATAGCAACATACTCAACAGAACTGATCTCTTGCCACTAAAAAAGAGTTGCGTGATCAGCAGCCACGAAACTGTTTAACAAGTTCTTAGGTGTGGTTCGATAAAAGGCTTGAGCTTCCAAAAAACATTCAAACATTGCACCTTTTAAACATTTAGGTTCAATGAAGACAAGCATGTTATTATGAAAATGTCATCCAACAGAGTACATAACATAGTACACAAATATAATTGACACAGTGCTCCCTCTTCACCCCCTTAGTGTACCGCTGCTATGATAACTAATATCAGCGATTATGAACGAGGATGTTTAAAAAATGCTGTGTGCAACTTTGTTTTTTTCTTGTTGCATGCGCATTTTAGCTGTGACATTTTGAACTGTCACGGGCTCATTTTTAATTAAGTCATTGTCTCTACAAGCCTTCAAATTTTTGCCGAGAAGATTTGACATCAATTTAGCAATCGTAGCATGCACTGAAAGGTGAAATATAAAGCAGTTGATAATACCCATTATCAATATTAAGGGGAGATACAATCAAAAAAAGTATCACAAATCTGTAGGCTAGCGCAATAAACTCTTTTGCTGTTTAGATAGACTTTTGTCCTGATTTTTCAAATATGTAACTAGTTTTGCAGCATTGCAGAGTTTTCGTTTTGTGCCATGACAATGTATAAAATGTAGTTCCCTTACAACAAAATTTTTATGCTATTAAGCTTTTATTGTTCTGAGCCATCAATGGCTCATATTGCTCATTAACTGTAGAATGCAAATAACTATAAGGAAAATGCGTATAAAACATTTTGATGGTCAAGAAAAACTGTAATGTGAGAATTCTTAGAATACTCAGTGCATACTAATTGCTCACTGTAGATTCATAATAACTATACAGGTGATATTAAGTTAAAAAAAAAAATACTTGCACCCTTCACACATTTAGGATTGTGTGGGCTAAATTTTGTTCCGATCGGGCTACTAGAAGTTCTATGAACATCATGTCTAAACTGAAGAAGTTGTCCAAATATGTATCTTAAGAAAAATGCATTTTAAAGGTGTAAGTGAAAGGTGACCTGTGTGGAAAATATACGTTTTTAAGATTTATTTTATCATGAAAGCTTGGCAATCATGGTTAATTTTAGCATGTGGCTTCAGTTAACTCCTCATGCAATATGCTATGGAAAGCAGGCAGGTGAAAATTTCCAGCTTATTTTAGACAATAGCTTCTATTTCAGAAGAACGGCTATTTGGGCTAGTTTGTTAAATTCTATGTTAATTGAGTGCTCGTGTTGTCCCTCTTTCCCTTTCGTTTCTCGCCTTCTGTACGCTTTTCTTCCAGCACTTTTGTGCTTGCGCTGCAACCCCTATTGACATGGCCTCTATTTAGTTTTTAGTAGGCACCTCGTGCTCTTTCAAAGCGGTTGAAAGGTACTTCCAGTTTAATTACAATCTTCACTTTTTTTTCATATTGCTGAAGGCCCGTGTGCTCAGATTTTAATGCACTATAAAAAAATTCCAGGTGCTCATAATTTCTGAAGCCCACCACTACGGCATCTCATAATTGTATGGTGGTTTCAGGACGTTAAACCCCACATATCAATCAATCAATCAGTTTTTTTTAATGTAGATAAACCAAACATTTGGAAGCAATAAAAATGAAAGAATGTGTAATTTTAGAAAAAAAAAACGTGCATTTTTTTACTCGCATCTCTCCTTAAGGGGTATTGTAATTCATTGCATAACTAGTGTACATCCCTTCCTTACTAAATCCATCGGCTGTTGAAACAGCAGTGTAGTATTCAATAAAAATCACATTGCTGACAAAAAGAAATACAGACAATCTTGTGTTACATCTAGCTATGTCCGTGCGTGAAATCCAGATCAGATAATGGGAAAGATAATGGTGAAAGATAATACGAGAATGTTTGTACGAGGGGAGGGGGAGGCTTGCTCAGTCATGGAGCAAAATGTAAGATGGTGGAGGAAGAGCCACTAGGAATAAAAAATGCACACTTGTGGCTTTAATGAAATGCTTTATTAAGTATGCATGTATTCGCTGTTTCCAAAATAGTGAATGATACAGTGAAAATGGCGGAAGGGGAGAGTGGAGGGGCGCTTGCTCTGTTATTGGCGCAAATTGAAAATTACTCGAAAAAAGAAAGTGGGAGCTGGTCTGGGATTAGGGGGAAAGCAAAGTTGTGGCTTCTGATTTGTTGGGCTGTTTTACTTAAAAGGGTATGTGTGCAAGATAGTTGGTACAGACACCATTTTTAAACAGCACTACACATACAAGTGTTCATGCAAGTGTTCTCCTGCCGATTTTCATGTAGTGCCATTCTCAAGTGACAAATGAGATATTTGACTCGCACTTGTGAAAAAGAGCTCAGAGTTCAGCGTTCTTTTTTTTCTTTTGCGCTGCAGCTGTCCTTGAAGGAGTCACCATAAAGGACAAGCAGGAGCATTATGGGCTGCCCACCACTGAACCCACTAATGTGTCGTCACACACCTGACTGTCCTAGTTGATTTGCAATTTTTTTTTGTAAGTGTGCACAGGTTATCTGGTATTTGTAGCACAGTGATGAACCATCTTCTTACTCTCGCTCAGCACTTATGCGACATCAATTGCACCTTATTTGTCTTTTTTTTTTAACATATATTCTGTTAGAAGAGTGATCCAAGGCTAATGCTGATCCTCCTTATTTAGCTTTTTAGAATGTGAAAGTGCCTAAAACATTTGCTTATTCAAGCAAGGAGAATGACAACACTGTGTACAGATAAATGTTCAATAATATGTCTGCATGTTTTACTTGCTTTGACTGCCAGAACCAATGGTATTGGGCAGAAACACCTGAGTGATCTTCTGGAGAGCTTAGTTTTACCAATGCACCATTGCCTAAACCACAAGCAGAGGCCACGACGGACAGCCTCCACACCACATTGCAGGACCGTTGGTGGCACAGCAATGCAGTTTTCTGACACTCTGCCACACGCTGCAGATCCCGCACGCTTTTGCAGCCAGCAGTACATTAAGCTTGGCATTGATTGTGGACCGCGACTAGGCTACCCAAGTACTCGAAAAGGGCCTGGTTCAGGCAGAGGCTCAACAGAAATGGCAGATTTTCACCAAGCACTTCTTGAAGCCATAAAGTTATGAATAAATTTTTCTGACGTAGACTATTCCACTTGCTCTATTCTCAGATTTTAACTGCCTCTTCATTTTATGCATTTCCCGGCTACAGTGCCATTTATTTTTTGTGTGTGTGTGTGGTCCCATGGGAAATGTATTACAGAGGTTTAAAGTACATATGCAGGAAAGGTGATAGTACACAGCAAGCAGGGCTACAAACAACCAAATGACAAGGTGAGTAGAGGGGTTGCTTGCAATGTGCATATAGCGGGGCTGACATTGGCAAAGTAAGTACGTTAAGAATATTAAAGGTTTCTCACATAGTTGCAACTTTCACATCAAAGTTCAAAGACCTGATAGGAGAATTGACAGTAGTTAAATGGGTGGTGCCATCAAAGCTTCGAGGCTATAACAAGTTTCTGTATGCAGGAAACCTCCACACGAATGGCCGTACACAGCAAATTTTTATAATATATTTTAATTCACTTCCAAAGTGTACCTTGAATGTTTATTCTCCCGATCGAGACCCATCACTACAGCGTCCAACACTTGCGTAGCTCTATAGGAAGGGCAGCAAAGGTTGTAGTGGCATCACACAAAATCTGTAGTGATGCGAGTTACCTTCATGCCTCTGCCAGCTCCGCAACATACGTGCCAGCAAAACATCAGTTGCTAATCATTCATGGCTGCTGTAGCTAGCCGTGGCAGCTGTTGGCATGTTTGTTTTGCTGATGATTTAGCGGCATGTGTGAGCAGGACTAGACGATACACAACACTGCATCGCAGCTTTGTGCGGTGATGTGACCAAGCCACCTATACTGCTACATCACTGTCCAACTCAGTGCCCACAAACCAAAAGTTGTTTGCATAAGTAAGGTGATAATAAATTATTCAGCGAGAATGAATCTTGGTGCGCCTATCGTGCTTCTTGGAGCCATAAGAAACACCTGCAGCAAAGAAGGCGCAAGCCACAAATACAGTGGCATGTGTCACCTCTTGTGGGGTCTTAAGAGGAGACTCCCGCTCTCGAAACGAACAAATGCAGCAGACGCGGTCTTGCAAACCAACATCATGTACATCTATTCAAGTACTTTTACAAACGATGGCTGATGCACAAAAATAAAGAGCTTCTCTCTTTGGTGGCTGACGGGAACGGATGTCTCCTGCTCGGGTCCCCAGCCGATAATACCGCGGGTCATCTTCTGCAGCGCTCGTCTTTTTTCTGTACGCCGGCCCAGCCTCATGGCGGCACTGCTGGTGCCACCGCTCTACGTGAACACTGAGCCACATGCCACTCGATGGCTGTTAAATCTAAATGCGACCTACCTGCGAGATACGTGGGCTCCACGAGGTGCAAACAACTTTACTGGAGGTGATAGCACCCTCACACCTTTTAGGTGAAATTGTTTAAAGAGCAACACCAGAAACACAGACAACACAGCGCCATTTTTTTTTTCTCTTTTGCTCCTTCCTTGTCTGTGTTTTTGGTGTTACGCTGTAAACAAGTTCGGGGTGAACCCCAATCAACTGGCCCAACTTACTGCCTTTAAGTGAAAGAGTGGGTTTGGGGGGAGCAGTTGGGACGATGTTTTAAGGGCCAGTGAACAAGCTCAGACTTGGTTTTCTTTACATCTCCTAAACAAGCTCACAAATTTGTTCAGAAAGCCGTGGCAGTGAATTTTGCAGCACTGCACAAATGCTTCATTTCAAAAAACAATGCCCGCGTCTCTCTCTAGCGCCTGTCCTATACTTATTGTACACACAATGACATGATCTTGCCCATGGGCCACTTTACTCGTCATTGATTTCTTTGATTGGTTCTCTGCACTACGAAACAGCGCCTTGGCTTTGTGGTGATGCAGTTTTGACCACACATGTTCCGCACCACTAGGGTGAACCTAGCGCTGCTGTTGGGGGAGGGGGGCAATGTAATCATTGACATTGTGTTACATTGCCACAGTAAGCTTAGTCCTGATGACTGGCTATACCTAGCCCTCTTTGCTGCTCAGAAAGCCGAACGAGAAACTGAAACCAGCCAAAACAAGTTGTTCTAAACCTTGTAACTTACTTCTTACTGTACTTATTTGCAAAATTCTTGAAGCAACAAGTTCACATTGTAGAAGTGTTCAGTTATCACTTCATTGCACATTTTGGACTGCACGTTTGTTCACTGGCCCTTTAAAGGGACACTAAAGGCAAATATTATGTCGACATGAATTGCTCGAACATCATTTCAGAAACCTCTTCGTGCTTGTTTAATACCAAGGAAACATCTAGTTTGAAAGACAATCACATTTTGGGGCTTTCGCGATGCATAGCCTTACGAAAAGGGAACTTGCATAGTTTTCAACGGTAATGACAAGTTCTTACAGGGATGTCTTTGTTTACCATGAGCTGTCATCGTAGGGGCGTAGTAGCAGTAGTGGTGGTGGTGGTGGTGGTAGTAATGGTGATTAGAAGAAGAATGAAGATGCCTATTTTCTGTAGCCGAATAGGGAGCACAGTGCAGCGTCTTGGGAAGTGGGAAGAAAGTGGATAGAAGAGTTGGAGATGTTGTCATGGCTCAGACATTGCAGCAGGGTCAGCAAGTTGGCAGAAAGGGTAGGGGTGGCAAGGTCCAGGTCTCAGCTGTAGACCGCAATTCCTGTCTTGTCTCGAAACTCCCCAAGGCAGGGAGTGCTGGCAGATGGGAACGAGACAAGAAAAGAAAGTGTTCCAATATGAAGGCAAGTAGGCCCTCTCTCCTGTAGGCCGTCATTACCCTAGAATGTTCCTGTGCCAATCCAGGACAAGCACAGAAACGATGCTCGAGGGTCTCAAGGTATCCGCAATGGCTGCAAGCCAGAAAGGCGCTGCGACTCTGCAGACCGACCGCATGTTCAACTGCAGACCGACCGCGTGTGGACCGTGGCATGTGCCACAGTCCACAGGTGGTCGGTCTGCAGTTGAAGCAGGGTGACCTGTTCCCTCCTGGTGAGGCCCGTCGCTGAAAGAGGACTTGGTCTTCACCAATTGGCTACCCCGAGATCCAGGTGAACTGTAATGAGAAGCTTCTAAAGGCGAGCCTGCGAGTAGTCCTCGGCCGCCACGGTCTGAGAGGGGAGGGGGTGCCAGGTTGTTGAAGTGCCTTGAAAAGTTGCCAGCTCGTTGCCAGCTATGCCCACATGAGAGGGCAGCCAGAGAAAGGAAAGGGGCACTCCAGCCCCGGTGAGTACAAAAGGTTTGCCATCAGCCCAGTATGTTGGTGATTGGCCAATATATGCAGGGCAGCCTTGCAGTCACACAGGACTTCAATCAGCTCAGCAGGGATGTAGTTATAGTAGGCCTTGTGTGATAAAGAGTGGGAGTGAGTAAAGACACGAAGATACGTGTAAAACGATTTGATGATGATGCTGACTGCTGCTGATCATGCACATTATCCCGATAGGCAATCTCATCCACATGCATGCTTACACCTTCACTGTTCAGTGCAACTGTTTTCATGGCATGGAACTGGCAAAATTTTTTTTTTACATTGTTAAGACTGTAAATGCTCTCCGAAATTGGAGTAATGTGTAATGTTGCACAGGTACAAGAATGAATACACATATCCGATGGTCTAGCATATTGATAGCAGTGGTGAGCTAGTCGTTGATTAGCTTGCATAAAGAATAAATGGAATGCCGTGCTGGTTGTCTGTTGGGTAGACCCCCAAATGTGCCAGATGAACAGGTAGGGCTGCATGCCTGCACTCTAGTTAATTGGACTGAAATGCGAAAGTTTTGTTTTATTTCATCTTGTAGCACAATGAAATGTTCTCTTTTTTTTATATGTGGCTTGATCACTCGTGGTTGATTGTGCTGAGGCCCACAGGTTGACAATAAAGTGTGGAGCTCACAGACTCGCTCTTAAAATATATATTACACTTAGAGCTCACTTGAGAGGGTTCACTCGGACTTGCCGAAATTTTTCTCAACTGGACTCACTCTGACTCAAACTTGCATATTACTCATGCGGACTTGCTTAGACTCTGTGCTTGATCCGAGTCTGAGTGAGTGGACTCATGAGTGAGTTTGCTATCCTATGCTGAGACCCTACTGTCTCGTTGAACTTGTGTTTCAGAATGTACCACTGGTGGTGCAAATAGTGTCCTAGATTTACCGTAATTTCACAATTGCAAAAGTGCTGATGTGTGTAATATTGATGTTTTAGATGTTTTGGGGCATTGTCCTTTTAGTCTGACAAAAAAATGTTATTTGGCTTTAGAGTCCCTTAAAGGTAGTACTGACGAACTTTTTAAGGCGAGATAAGTTACTAGATAAATTTGTATGGGCACACACCTTACATCTAGTAGGTGTGTGTGTTTAGACATGCTACAAAATTTCGATGGCCAATATAGCTTAGAAAATATTTTAAATGATTGAAGCATGTGCTATCCAACTGCATCTAAAATGGCACACCCCATGGCATCAATGTCAATTTGGTTTGAGCGTAAAAAATCAGCTTTGTTACGAGTTTGTGTTGGTTTCTGTGGTCCTTGCATGCACCCTCTCTCCCACAGTTGTCAACATGATGACCACATGCACACAATGCAGAATGGGGCAGGCTGTGTTTACTAAAAAACCACATGAGATCCCACCTGTCTTGGCTTTCTGAAGACTGTGACTGGCCACTGCAAAAAATGTCTCTACTAAACAATTAACTGTCATGCAGTTGAGCAAACAAAGGTTCTAGCCATCATAAGTGGGTCATCGGCTATTTTTTGTGATGGAAAAAACAAGACTTAAAAATTTTTGTTCAAGTATTTCTTTAAAAGGTGCCAGGACTCAACCTGTGTAACCAGCGGAAAAAAATTGGGGACTTGCAAAGAGGAAATGAACTTGGAATATCTGCTTGGTATTAAACAAGGAGTTGTTCAATCTTGAAATCACCCTGCAGTACTTTTCTAAGTAACCACTCAATGGCTTCATTAAAAAGTAAATAGCCTCTTTAATCAACTTTCACTAAAATTTTTTGAATCCGTCAAGTAGGAGCGAAGTTACCGAGCTTTATTTCACTCTGCAATTTCTTT